TTTAGATTTTTCATTTGGTTAAGTTTTTCATGTGGTTGGTGCCAAGCCCTACAAACAACCGCACGGGATTCGCCTTCTCACCTTAGCTCCCCTCCAAACGGATTTTTGTCGGCTACGAAGGGGATACTTAGTCTAGGACCGGAAGTCGTGAGTTGCTTGAACCATATGCAAAGGTCCATTCCCGGTAAATGGTGGTCAAATGTAGTTGCGTGGAGCCATTCTACTACTTTTAGGAGCTGTAGGAATATGGCAAAAATGACCTCCAATTTAATTTAAGCTTTCGTGCAGGATCCCGGAAAACGTAAGGCGAATATCGGCGATAATCCGGAGCTCTTCAAGAAATTAAAATTGTATGTATTAATATTTATAAAAACTTCTATTCTTAGTCGATTAAGAATTAATTAAATAGTCTGAATGGGTATCAAATGTTTTGACGTATTTAATAGTATGAAAGAAAATTGAGAACGAAGTTGAAAAAAGATAATCGTCCCGTAACTAGCACATTAACCCTACATGTCCTTATGAGTATGTACCAGAGATGCTCAACTAATGAGACGATTTCATTTCGCTTTGTTAATATGAAAAATAAAGTTAAGAAATGAAATTTGTTTTGATAATTGCTTTAACGATAACATTTCCGAATATTTCAACCGAATTGATGGAAGTTTTTTGATGAACATAAAATTTTTCGCTACGATGTATGTAGGTATACAATCAATGGACTTTTTATGCATATAACTATTGCTTTAGCTTTCGATTTACAGGCTCCTTATAGTCGAACTCTATCATGATCGTGTGAATCGTAAAAAAGTATTTTTGGAATTTTTAGTATCGCGCATATTAGGCGTCTCTTATATCATAAAATTACTGTACAGAGGTGAATGCATGCTTTGTTTTTGCAAAAGTTTTACAAATAAAAATAATTATTTGCACGCAAAATGACGAAAAAGAACAACATGTGCGCATAAACACAATTGACCGAGTCATGGCGTGATGGAAATATTATTTTTTGCATTTTATTTATTCATATTTACGCCGTAAGTGGAAAATAGAGCGCACATGCAAAAGTGCTAGAATATACATACATCCATAAATATATATATATATATATATTTATATATGTATGTATGTATGTAAATATATCCGTATGTACAATGCCCATTAGCATACATTTGTAAATACAAGTGCCCATTACACATACATATGTACACGTATGTGGATATGGACATTTTGGGCGATTTGCCAATATTTCGTTTTCTTTGTAAGTTCTTAAATATTTCCGCAGACGGCATGCAGCCGAACAATGTAAAAGTTCAATATATCTTTGAGAAAATTACGCTTCCAAAAGAGAGAAAATTCATACATATGTACATGAACATATACATATACATATATGTACTCGTATGTATGAATGACTGCAGGTGTACAAAGTCAAAAAACTGATATTCGTACCCTCTATTAGTGGCTTTATAGATTTGGCCCGATGGTTGTAAGTAAGACAAAGAGAAGCGAAGAGAAGCGAAGAGAAGCTACTATAATCATAAAATCGGTCTGATGAGCTGAAGTGGTCAATATATCAATTTTCAATCATAAAATAAAAATTAATTATCACATCGGATGTCTTTGCATTTGTAATTTAGCAGTTTTAGTCGTAAATACACATTAAAGCTAAGCGTCGGATATAGTCTGTCCATAATATGGGAAGTGGGATTCATTTGGATACTTTGTTGGTAATTTTTAGAAGAATTTTCGTATTCAAAGCTTCTTCAGAAAATCAACCAATCTCAATATGCTTACATATATTCCAAGTAAATAAATCAGCCATATAGAAGATCCTTTAAACCGTTTAAAAACCAAGACCACAGTTCGGAGAAGAAGCAAATCAGAAATCAGGTACACTTCGGACTGTTTGGAATACAAGTCTCTCATGCTGACAGTTAAAGATTTGCTCATCAGCTGCTACAAACTGAATTGAGATTAAGAAAGGAAAGGAATACATATATTATTTATTAGTTTACAACCCTCTATAAATTTTTAGTGATAGTTAAAATCGAGTCAGAACAAACCAAGCTGTCGTAATAAGTTTTAAAATCATTTTGAAGTTGGTATTGCCAAATACAGAAAGGATGGGGTCTCAAGTATTTAGATGATCTTAGAGTGTGTTTAAGGTTAGTTTGCTAAGTAGTGTCCTACTTCTACTGTGTTACTGATCCCCACATCCCACGTCTATTATATCGTCTGATTCCTTAAATCTTACACATATATTTTAAACGACGAAACGCAGTTGATTTGTTGACGTTCAATTCACTGGCAACCTCTTCCGTCGAAATACGTGAGTTATTCGCAACTAAAGTCCTTAGAACATCGTCATCAAGCTCAGAAGGCCACTGCGAGGTTGATCTTCGAGGTTAAAATCTCCAGAACGAAATTTCGCGAACCATTTCTTTACTGTGCGGAGTGCTGGAGCACGGTCCAAATAAACTTCGCGAATATCTTTAGTTGCAGCGCCTACTGTTTTTCCTTTGCGGAATTCGTATAACATAATATGTCGCATATGATCTTTTTCGTTGTCCATCTTCCATGCGTCTTTTCACTAAGCAACTCAAATCAAAATGAAATTATTTTATGCTTGATTTACAGTCCGGACTGTCACTATTCCAACGATACATAATATGTATATATTTCTTTCACGAGCGCCACTCTCAAACGATTCGAACGGCATCCAGCGGAATCAGGCACGAACTTATGCACTCATCCAATATATATAGATATATATATAACCTATAATATAGCTCATCCTTAACGTTAATTTTTAAATGGCTGTTTGCTATGATATTAACAGCACAGTTAACAATAAACGTTTAACATTATCTGTTAAGGATTTAACATTAACGCCTACATTTCGTTTCGGATAAAGTAAAAAAAATTGATAAGTTTCCAAATGTTTCAAGTGATTCGATGGATTTTTTTATATAACGTTAAATTTATCGTTACGATGCAGCATTTGATGAAAAAGTTCTTATATCAATTTGTAGTTTTTGTTTGGTACACAAATTTACCTCTTTATATACTTGTAAAAGGTCAGGCCTATTCCAACTGTTACCGGTAAATTAAATTTTGTTGCTTTTTTTAACACCCAAAATTGAATTTGGCATTCTGGCGAACTAGTTACAATGTTTGAAAAAACTTGACATTTGCCAGTTGCTATAGCAAAAAAGAAATAGAAGACGGTGCACTTCAAAATAAATAAGTTTTATTTCTTTGTTTATTAAATCATAAATATTTTACCCTAATTATGGAAAATATGCCTGGACAACAAAAAAAAACTGAATGGAAAAGTTTTCCACTAAATTAAAATTTGGTTTTAATTTTTCCCAAATTAACAAAAACCAAATCAAACAGTATATGTTTTGTTACCTCCTATTTCGCTGGTAACAAATTGTACAGGGTGACAGTGAACTCAGAATACGAAATAGTAACGAAATTTACTGAATGGTAAATTTTAATACCTAAGTAAATTTTGTTACCTCGACAGAATAGGCTTGTGTGTGTACTACACATCTACTCGTATACAAAATAGGACACGGCACTACGTATTTTGTTGTATTCCCGATCAACGAATAAGTATTATACTTGGTAATTATTTATTGGAAGTGGACAGAATTCTAAATATAAAAATGAGAAAATGAATGATTCAAAGTGAGCCCAAAATCAATATTCTGATCTTTGCTTAAACACAATGACACTAAAATTATTACAGGTGTTTAGCACAAATGCAAAAATCATAACAATTGGTACATCTCTTCCTCAGTTATATACTGACAAATATCAATTTTCTACACACATATTCATATGTACATATATACCTTGAGCTCTAATTGCACATGTAGTAAATTTCACGAAGATATCTTAAGTTCAGTCAATTGTATTTTGATCTTTCGAACCAATAATGATGAATTGAGCCAAAAAGAAGAAGAAAAATAGAAAAGGCAAAATGAAACTGGATGCCTTTTACAAAACTGGAATTTAGATATCGCTCCACGCCATTAAGTAAACAAGGGTAAATTCAATCAATCAGATATGCTGAACTATAAAAATAATGCCATTTCGTTTTATTAATATCAAAAATAAACTTAACGGAATGAAACAAAATGAAATTGAAATATGCGTATCAGGTAAAATCATCGTTAACGTTAGTTTTAAAATGACTGCTTGCTATGATATTAACAGCACAGTTAACGTTAGACTTATAGCATTCTCTGTTTCTTCTTCCGTGGTATAAAAACAGCTGATGGCGATTTAACATTAATGCCTGCAATTCATTTCGGGTAAAATAAATTTTTTTTTTTTATATTTCCATATGTTTCATCCGAATCGATAGAATTATTTTCATTAACGTGAAATTTATCGTTGCAATGCAGCCTTGCTTTATGCCGTTAGATTTTCAAACTGCGTACTTTAACAGTGAAATGCAACAATTTACGCTCGTTTAAAAATTTATTTACTCATTGTTCATTTACCTTTTACTTCTTTAAAATTTTAATTGGATTTTTTTTTTGGTTCGTAAGTGTTGATCGTCCGTTTTAATGAAGATATTTATACATTCATATGTGTGTGCACAAGTACATAAATGAGTATGAAAATAGTACAGGCAAAATGAGTATAGTCAACCATGCGTAGATATACACATACATATGTACATATGTGTTTTCATCTCTCTTGTTTCCATTTTTCTTACCGTTCGAATTTTCTCTTGTGCATTTGCGCTAAAAGTATGTGTGTGTACGTATTTAATGGAGTGCATTTCCACTCTCAGATAGCTGACGATCTGAGTTCACTTGTGTTACACTTTGTTATATACACGCATACATACAAACATTGAAAAACATGAGTGTAAACAATTCATATTTTTTCTTTTGTTTTGATTTCATTCGACGCAATTTTCTTTCTTCTTCCGTGGTATAAAAACAGCTGATGGCGAAGCTTTCCAACTATTTGAAAAACAAAAGACACACGTGAGGTTAAGCGTTTTTGAAGTTTTCAATTCTCCTGAAATTGAAAGTGTTAAAAACGAATACAAAAGACTAGAAAAGTGTAAAAATTTGCATAAATTTTCAACGATTTCATAAACTAATTCAAAATTGCAAAAGTTTTGTGACAAAAACTTAGAAAGAAAAACAAAATCTATATCAAAAGTGATTTGCACAAATTATGTTTGAGACGCATTAAGTTCTCTAAAGTGTTAAATTGTGTTTGAAAATACGTACAAGTTTCATTAAGAAAAAGCAAAATGCGTCCGTTTGGCAACGATATCACAAACCTGGCTAACAGCAATGGTAGTAGCAATGGTGGCGGGAACAACAATAACAACAATAATAATAATAATAGTAATAATAATAATGTTAGTCATACTGAAAATGAGTTTGAAGAGAGTGGTGTACACATAACCGACGATCCGCGTGTGCCGCCCCACATTGCTCGCATGGGTGGCATAGTGACTTGTTCACCGATTGCTGGACGTGGTGTTATACGAGTGGTTGGCCGCTGTGAGGATGCCAAAGAGAATAACATGTTAGGTAAGCATTAGGCCGAACTTTATATGTAGGCATACTAACATTGATGTCTGGACATCTATCTTACTCATATCCAATATTAATAATGCAATAATACATACAATCGTACATATGTACAGAGGTATGTAAATAGGTTTTCCTAACAGCATATGTATGTATGTATATCAAAAAATTTACAGTAAAAGAGTATAAATAGTTAGAGACTTATGGCTACCATTAGAGGAACATATAAGATCCTTCGGAGTTACGTTTAGCGCTATTATAATCTAGAAGATTACACCATGAATTATTTGTAATTTCAAATTATTAAAAATAGAATTAAATAGCTAGCAACCCTTAAATGATTAATTTATTTCAATAATTAATTGGGAACACTCCATAATTCAGGCTTTCAAAATCCGTACAATTTTTAAAAAGTCATTTAAGAAACAAGCCCGACGACACTTTATAAGCAAGCATGACGAAAATAATGAGATTCCGGCAAGACGAAATGCTGTTAATACAATATCCAGTTAAAACAAAATTCCGATAACTTTTTATCCCAACAGGAATGAATAAGTTACTGTTTTCACTATATGCTAAATCTGCCATATATGTACATATATATGCACATATACTATATACAATGTACATTTGGCAATTTATAACCACTGAAGCAGTTATCGGCCGAATTAGTTCTTCATTTAAAAATGTGAGTCTTGAAGTTCTTCGAACCAATTAATGGGCGTGCAGCTTATTTAAAGCCATCTCCGAAAGTTTGGTGAATTTTTATGAAGAGCTTTTAATATCTTATAAGGAGTACACTTGGATATTAATTATAAAGGGGCGATCGCCCATGACCTTTCCAATGGCATTTCTACCATGAAATAGGTCATATACATTAAAATAAAAGTGATACAAATGTAAATAACTTTTTACCAAAATTATAATTTAGCAGATCTAATGGGGTTCAGATTATAGCAAAGAAATTTTCATATTACACACAACTGTGGAGTCAAAAAATTTTTAAATCCTTTTTTTTTTGGAAATACGAATACTCTTTTTAATTAAAAATAAAAGAAATTTTGGTTATATTTAAAACAAATAATTACATATATATTTGTCACTGAAAAACCTACATACATCTGACAAGCCATTGTGCGATTATTTAAATTGTTTTTTGAATTTTTGTTTGTTTTTGTTTAAATGGTGTTGTGTCTGGAATAGGAATGATCTAGATTTGGTCGTATATTTTTATGATTTTCGGGGATTTCGTTATACACCCATTTGAATTTCTCTCAATATTTTTTCCTTAAATAATTTCGTAGTCATTTGACTGCAAAAACTCAGCTGTTGTTTTTGATGATGATAGTCATCCATTCTAATACATATCAAAGCTTTCAAAAGGATCGCAGTGTACATACATTAAAATTTTAGTACATATATGGATATAACTGTGTCATCATTTGCGCTTTATTAAAATATTATTTCATTATAGATACATTTGTTTTATTGTAATGTTGAGAAACATACATACATACATATGTACACTCATAGACGAAATTATAGTTGCATTTAGTTTTTATATATTATCTGGAAACTGCTCCATTATTTTAAATTAATTAAAAACAAAAATCCAATTACATGAAATTATTTTAACTTCTTTTTGGTCCAACGTACTATATCACTATATGTTAATGTAAATATTTATTTTGCCAGCTCAAATCTTCCAACTATCAAATTTTATATAAAAGTCACTCCTAAGTTTCTTGAGCGCATTGAGATCAGGGGTTGTCTGAGTTATTACATACACGTGACGTAGGAATTTACAAACAGGAACAATACAAACTAAATTTGATGTATGACAACGATCCAGTCTTGTTGATAAATCAACTGAACTCAACCAAATTGAAAATTTGTGAAGTGACCTCAAGAACAGCACAATATTGGCCAGCAATTGTGGACAACCTACCTAGAAATATGTCACAAGTTAATACTGTCTATACCGGGGATAGAGGATATACCGGTTATTCAAAATTTGTAGAAATTGAATTTCTATTTATTTTTAACGTTGCTACAATTATTAAATTGTCTGCCATTTGATGTTTCAATGAAAAATGGTCTCAGGGCATTATACTAAAATTAAGTTTATTTTTTTATTTTTGCCATTAGTGTATACCAAAACTGATATACATAAATATTTTTGTTTACCGATGTCATTTGTGGGCTTAGGCAAAGGTCACACATTACATCAATTATTCATCTAAATGAAAATCATTCTATTTCAATTGCAAAACTTTCCTAATATTTAATGAAATAAGCTCAGTTATGAAATGCCAAAATTGTGCTCTCTCGGGCAAATTATACGGATTTTTTGCCTCAACAAACGCGGCGCAGTAAAAATTGGTAACATTTGTTACAGCCCATCAGCTCACAGCTCAGAACTGTAGACTTTTGCTACTTACACAAACACTGCTTTATATCTACATATGTACATATGGGTGTATGCTGAAGTGATTTTCGGCCGAATTTGTGTATGCTTTGTCTCAATTTGTCTGAAATGAATATTTTCTATGTTCACTATTTTCACTTTTTCATTATATCAAATAATAGATGAAAGGGATTGGCATAAATTTAATTATATCATATTAGCCGATAGTCCTATAGCTAGTGTTTCCAATTTATTGTAATTCCCAATTATAATAAATAATAATAATAATATTAATAGTTTTAGTGACATTTTTTATTTTAAATTGAAAAAGCTTGCCGGTTTGAGGTTCGAATAAATAAAAACAAAGTAAGTAATGTTTTCTCTCGCTATATTTCGATTACACATCGGTAACCGTCTTCAGCGTGGAAATTATTATGATAGGTTTTTAATAATAATAATAATAATAATAATAATAATAATAATAATAATAATAATAATAATAATAATAATAATAATAATAATAATAATAATAATAATAATAATAATAATAATAATAATAATAATATTAATAAAAATAATAATAATAATAATAAAAAAGTGAGAAAGGCCAATAGATTTGAAATATAATTTTTTTCCTTAATTTTATAAATTTGTCTGGGACTCGATAACTCAGATAAAAATGAAACAATTACAACAGGCGTGAAAATTTTGAATTTTCCATGAAACTTTAATCGAGCTGATTATGGAACTATCTATAATATATGCATAATCGATGTTGCTCTCTAAGGTAGTGAATATTGGGGGCGTTCAATATCGATCGTTTGCCTTCACTGAAGGCTTCAAATTGATAGGATTTTCGAATATAATAAAAACGAGTATAAGAGTACTTATCTTATCTAAATTTTACAGTGCTCTGGTGCTCTTCATAGATATTGGTATGTTTGCACAAACATATTTGCCTTCTCAAAGAGAAATATATTCTATTTCTGTCGCAAAATGTATACGTAAATAAATACAAGAATTTTTTCTTATACTCAGTCAATTCACCACGCGTTCGAAGAAGTCATCGCTTGTGATCTGTCAAAAGTTTTTGTGAAAACTTAACATTTTAAATATTTTCATATCAATTTAATATTAACTAATCAATATTTTTATAATACTGAGTTCGTTTGTTTCGTGAAAACGTTATAAATTTTGTTTAAGGATGGCACATGCTGTTGTACGGGTCGTTGAACGATGTGAAAATGCTCAAAATAATGAATCACTAGGTAGGCAATATAATTGCTTTCTTTAAGAATAATATTTAATTCCAAATGCTCACAAAACATATATAAATACATACATATGCAATGCAAATACGAGCAGGCATTTAATGTGAAGATTCTTTTTAATTTCGAATTTTTCGCCATTAGATCAATATTAGATATGACATGGTGTCATACATACATACAAGTATATAAATGTATATTAATATTTACGCATTAGGGTGTCTGTTATTCACCAAGTAGGCTCTCCTTTAATTTTAGTTATATTAAACCTTGCTTTTAAGACGGTACACTTTCTATACAAATAACGACGGATTTTTCCCACTTTCATGAATAGGAAAACATACAGCTATGAAGAGTACAAAGTTTTGTAGAAAAATAAACGAATTTTTTATATACTTTCTAAAATAAATATTTGTATGAATTTAGTGTTGTTGTACTATTCTCAGCTTCGATTCGATAGATTTTTTAAGTGCTGCAGTTTATATGTTTGTGGCGAATAAAACCTAACTTGATAAGAAACCATATATAATATTTTTATAACTTTCAGATTTATCGGACTGCCAATTAATGCAGATTCCTGATGCAGTATATCATTTGATGCGAAATACTCAACTAAAGACCTGCGATCTTAGTAGCAATGTGATCAAAAATATATCACCAAAATTTGCCTTGAAATTTAATTTAATCACAGGTGAGTTATATATATTATATACGAGTATTATAAGTGGAGTGACCGTTGTACAGCACTCTCAACTGCCCAATTCGAGTATTTTTTTTTTTTTTTTTTAATTAATGACTTCCTGCCAAAATTATTTGAAATTGGCTTGTTTTATGCAGAGACGCTCAACTAACGAAACGATTTTTGTTTATATAAATAACTGAACGAATGGATTTTGCTTTGTTTATACGACATGTTATGGAAACTAAATGAAATTGGTGATGTTGAAACCACACGAACAACTAACATTAATGGGTTTATACATTATCTGTTAAGGAGTTAGCATTAACGTTTGCATTTCGTTTCGGGTAAAAACGCTATAAAATTTGTTTTCATAACTGCTTTATTGATAACATTTCCAAATGTTTCAACTGAGTCGATTGAAACTTTTTGATTAACGTGAACCTCATTGCAACTATACCACCTTGGTATGATATTAATGCTGAGATTCTAAAAGTTATCATTCATAGAAACATTTTTATGATTTTTTTTATTTTTGTCCAAGCCGATAATTTCTAAGAAAAAGGTTTTTAAAAATATTTCACGTTAAAATTATTAAACTATGTACATAATTCAGACACATTGAATATGAATTAAGTGTTGTTGGTCAGTGTTGAATATAGTTTTATTTACATATTAATAGAAAAATTGCAGTAAATCTTTTAATGTGTTTTATGAGTGGAGTTCTCAACTCGGATGTTAATTATTTTCATTATTAACCAACACTGTCCTATAATTTTTATTTCCTATAGATCTCAACCTATCTCACAACCAAATGACCAAACTTCCCGATGAATTAGCGGATTTAAATGCTTTAGCACGCTTGAATATTTCCCACAATTCGTTTATTGTTCTGCCACCAGTTGTGTTTAAAATGCCAAAACTGCGTGAGTTGGACGCCAGTAATAATGCCATCATAGGTAAATATATTTCGAATATGTTACATTTTTAATAAATATATTTGCAATTGTTGTACTATGTGATTATAAATGTTTTCCTTGCTTGATTATTTAGAAATCGATACTGAAGAGATGATCACAAGTGACAATTTAGAACTGGTTGATTTACGATACAACCCATTGGGTCGCATCTGCCATCGAAAATTGAAAAATGTCAACACACCATTTCGCATTGAAATATCTCAGTATAATGAAGATGACGATTGGTAGGCTGTAGAGAGAAAATTCCCTCTAATACTTTTGTACAATAGCTTAAATTTGTACGAGGCATTCATTTAGATTATGTAGTTCATAGAATTGTAAATTAAGTTAGAAATTCTTAAATTATTTTACATATGCAGACATATATATATATGCACCGTAAAAGATCAATTCGGTCTGAACTAGAAAGCACTTACATATAGTGTAATTAACTAACAGAGACCGTTTTTATTTGTAAATGTTTAATTGATCGCTTTAACAGCTATCACTCACTCAAGTGCCTTTTAAATACTTGTTAAAAAAATTTATTCCCGTTTCTGCTTAACCAGCGAAACGATGCCCTTTCGATTTGTTAATATGAAAAATAAACTTACCGAAATAATTTTGATTCGTTTTGACGTCACGTAAACGAAACGAAAAGAAATTGTTAATTTTGAAGCCGCAAAAATTCATCGTTGAGGTTAATCCTAAAATGACTGCTTGATATGATTTAACAGTACACTTAACATTAAACGTTTAACATTATCTGTTAACGATTTAACATTAACGATTGCTTTCCGTTTCGGGTAAAAATGAAATGCAATTTATTTTGGTAACTGATTTAACGATATCATCTCCAAAAATTTCAACTGGATCAATTGATACAGCCTTGGTAAGAACCATAATACAAAGGAGTAACCCTAAACTAATATCATATTCCAAAATATGTACATATGTAAATATGGAAATTCATAAGAAAACAAAAATGCCTTCAATAACAATTTCTTTATATGTAGAAATTGCGTAAATAAATTAGCGAAATACTACATTTGCCTCTTTTGGGAGGAGAAGAAAAGAAAACGCGCTTTTAAATGTTAACGAAGTCTTTTTTATTGTCTTCCAAGTTAGCAACGCCAATTTTATAAACAGATTATTCAAAGCAACCTGTAAGCCTTTGAGCATACCGAAGTGCCAAAAAGACATACGTTTAAATAAATTAGGGAAATCTGATCGATTAAATGAACTAATTAAATTAAGCGAGCTAATTGGCCAATATAAGCCAAAGGCGTCGGTTCTATATGTAATCTGTAAATGTTGCAACGAGAATCCTCAAAATATCGATACCAAAGAATCTTAACTCATTATATTAGTATTAATTTACGTAATTTGTTAAGTTATGAATTAGGTACGTTAAGACACAACGTTATATACTTAAGTGTGATTTAATTATTTAAGCCAATTTTGAACAAACTAATACAAACTTTATTAATTAATTTGACTGTAAAGGATTTAACTAGGCCAGAATAATATTATGTTTCTGAGGCAAAATTGTACCAAGACGCACATCATTATTTTATTATAAAAATTTTGTTTTTTGCAAAAACAAATATCTTCCTAAAAAAAAGAAAAAAAACATTTTTATATATGCAACAACCTTTATTAAAAACAATCAAATAAATAAAAAATTCTTGGCCAAGGTAAAATGCTTGAGTTTCATTTAATTACTACAATATTTGTAGCAGTCAGATTTGGTTGTAATCTGATTAATTATTGATATGACAATAAAAATCCAACGTTTTCATGATAAAAGTAAAAATTATTCATTTCTAAATATAATATGTTGATTGGTAACACTGAGTGAGAGAATGTTAATTTTATTATTCGGCACTAGACTCGTAAGAAAATTGAGCCTAATCCAGTGGCCTGTAACCGATGCCCGGAGGGCATCCGGGCTATGTAGCCATCAATCGCGAGGCATATCAGATTGTAAGGATCTGCTTAAATTCTTTTGCCACTTGCATTCATGCTTACAAGAGTATATCCCTGTACTGAGACTAAAGTCTCACGCTGACGGGCTTAACCATTTCGGTTTAATATCTAGTATATGCTAGAATGTAATAAGCATCAATAGCAACAAGCAACGCTCCTCGTATAAACAGATGTCATACCAAAATCATAAACATATACGAGGGGATTAAAAAAAGTTCGGTCAGTTGGTGACTTTCAATTTGTTTTTGTTAAATTTAAAAATACCAAAACCTTTGCAGTTAGTCTTCCTTTTAAGTTTTAGAATTGGTTCCATAAGTACGATCCAGAAACCGAAAAAAATCTAAGAGCAACACAAATCAGCAGCAAAAGTAATGATGTCAGTTTACTTCATCCGATCTAAAATCGTAGCTGCTATTCCACTGGAAAATGGTCAGACGGTAATGCAAAATTGTACACCGAAGAGTGCTTACCAAAAGTTTTAAAAAATTTGTTTGAAAACAGGAAGAAAGAGGATTTGCAGCGCTACTTTTTGCAACATGACAATGCTGTTACTGAAATGACGAGTCATTTTTTTGCGATCTCTGGAATCAAAGAAATACGCACAGCACCATAGTTCTTGGATGTAGCACCTTTTGATTTCTGGTTATTTCCAAGAACTAAGAAAAATTTAAAAGGAAAGGTCTCACATAGCAACGATAGATAGATAGTGTAGATAAGTATACTGTACTTTATAAAGTTAAAAAGCATGATTTTGGAAACTGTTTTCAGTAGTGGATCTAATGGCTTAAGGAATGCATTGAAATAAAAGGCGATTATGTAGATAAGATAAAAGAGGACAAAAATTACGAATAAATGCAAAAATAGTTTTATTTTTTTTTCTGGTCAACTTACCGAAATGATTTTTTTAATCCTCTCGTACATACATATCAAGGGTGTTCCAAAACTAACGCAATAATAGAATTAAATGAAGAATACAGTTTTTAGTCTATCGATGGTAATACTTTTATAGTACAAAAGCAAATGATCTCCATACACAAACGCACTGTGATTTGAAACAATTTCATAAAAGGGGGAAAAATCTATGGGGCTAATACTGTATGACATGTGGCATCGTCTTGTTGAAACTTCGTTGGCCATATCGCGTTATCGAAGTAACATCCACTGCTTGAGCAGTACCTTTTTTCAAGAAATTACGATTCGTGGATAGTCACCAATACTCTCACTCACTGCTTCGATTTTGTCATTTAACGACTTGTTTTAGGACAGCCAGTGCAGCTTTAACGGATCCTGTCTCCCGGATTTTTTCAATTTATTAAAATTTCCGACCTTATTTTGTATAAAATTTGCGTTCCCGAACCACCGACTTCTCAAAGCTTTTGCTGACTTAGTAGTCGAAAAGGATGAGTTACAGAGCATATCTAAATGTATTTCTGCAGAACGCTTGAAAGGACGGGTTTCAGTGACATTCTGTCTGAGTGGTAGTATTGATTTCTCAGCCACGGCTCTTCGGTTTGTGATGCAGAAGCAGTCGGAAGGAATGAGTTTATATTTCGCTGGTTATTGCTATGTTGTTTGGGTGCCGACTATTTCAGCTTTTTCCTCATCTTCAACCTGCTGCACCCACGACTTCGTATCTTTTGTGAGGTAGGCGGACCACACTCCATCTGTCTTGATGCTTTTCTTAATTTCAACTACCTTAGCTTGTCTTTTGTCAGCGTGGACTTGCATATGCCTCGTGGTGTGATGATTACCCTAGCACCTGATGCATCTAATTGCACTAAAACAATTGTACAGATGATGGAAAAGTGACAAGCAGTGCGGGAAGTAGCATTGAATTAGAACTACACGCAGCCTTGACCCTGGCGGTTTTTTTTTTAATATAATAGTGGTTCTTGTTGCAGAGACGGCAGGTAATTGAAAACTCTTCTCTATGATTTTCCCATATTTTACGGGCTGTTGGGGATCGAGTTGTAATTCAAAATGGAAGTAAGGGAAAGGGCATTTTAAAAAAGTCTGATAATGCCCCCGGTTAGGTGGCGAGCGAAGACATGTCGGCCAACTAATTTGGCGGTAAACAGATCAATTTCACTATATGTCGGGTGATGTTCACTCCGTCGTACGGATTACTGCTGGGATGGGCTTATTATTGCCTTGATGAACCTTGACGTCTCGTCTAAGTCACCAGCACAATTAAGTAATCGAATTCTGTATTTGGCTTCTGATGCTTCCACTACGTACAAATTGGTTATGACGCAAGTACGTGGAGAAATCAGAAAATAATAGTTATTTTAAATTTCTTCAAAAAGTATTTATTATTGATGAATAAAATAACTTTCTTGTCCTCTCAGATATAATACACTTATGCCAGCATTTTTTCCAATCATCGAAACACTTTGAAAGTTCTTGTTGAAAATGTTCTTGTTGGCAAGAGTTTTAACTCGCTGTGACGTAGTCTTATTTCATCGGCAAAAGTCGGAAGATTTTAGTTCCAGAATGGCGTTGGTACCTTAGTGAAATCCCAAAACGTAAGACTGGGAGCGTTTGTTGGAAATCGTTATTATATCTGTAATATCTCGCAAGTAATGAACAGTTCGTTTTTAAGCTTCTTCTAAGACATTGTAGTTAGGAAAATCAACGAGTTTGAAGTATTGATGCTTAACCTCAATAATTCAATTAATTTGGATATTGACTTAACGAATAGTGCAAGTAATCCAGTACGTTGCTATTACAGTACTCAGAGCTGGAGTATGGGAAGTAGCTAGTTTTTTAGACTTTTCGGCAAACAAATTTTTTATCTTTCAGAGAAAAATATTTATTTGAAAGTATCCTATGATACTTCTAATACCTCTAATCGTAAGAAACAAGCCCACATTCACATTTATTATATTAGTAGAGATTTAAATTTATTATAAATGAAATATATTTTTTTACACGGAAACTGTACACATTGCCACACACTTTAATACATCGTTTTTTTTTTTTATTTAATAATCAAAATATTCGCTACAAATAATGTATTGGCGGCACAACATCTGTCATACTAATTTGTAATTTCAAAAAGTTTTACTTATTTGCTGTATTTAATACATTCTTTATTTTTTCCCCTTATAACTATGTGCAACCATTTATATGTAAATAGCATTTTGATATGAAACTCATTAAAATATTTTTAAATACAAAGATTTACAAATTTCTATTAACTTTTAGTTAAATATTTGCAACATCCACTGAAAAGCTGCTTTAAGGCTTGCTTTTGGTGGAAAATAATCCTTTATATGTTGGTACATACATATGTACATATATCTATTGTGCATATAAATTCCAAACTTAACACCTTTCACATAAAGACGATATAACAAAACAAAAGAATATAATAAAAAACAGTTAGAATCAACTTGCTTATACAAAAGCACTTTAAAAAATATATATATATATTGTGGGTGTGATTTGCAAAGTCGTTGCTTGACTTAAGGTTTGAAAAAAAATTTCCATAGCAAAACTAAGCCTTTAAGCCTTTCTTGTATTCTTCAATTCGAGTTAGCAACATTGCATTCTGTTGTATGGGATTCTTTTGAAACCTGCAAAGCGCCTATGCTAATCACGTACACACATCACATCGACTCCGAAATCAATGACATATCATTGATCTTACTTTCGAAATTTATTGTCATTATAGTAGTTAAACTCATCAACTTTTAGTTGAAGTTTTACACTGACGGCTTTCAGTTGTGGTGCTACAAAGTTCCTTCCCTTCCTTCTTTCCTATTTGTCATTCTAAATTCACAAAAGAGTTGCTATTGATAGCCAATGACAGATGTGTATCCACGGGCTTTTGCTTCTTTGTCGTAGAAACAGCGCTTTGTTGATGCGTTGGATGTGTGGTAGATAAAGCCGCTCCTTCCGGCGCCGTCACATCAAATGCATGCAAATGTAAATGGGAGTGAGCACCAGTTAGATTGGCAAGAGGAATACGGTAGACACGTAGCGGCTTTATACGATCTGGAGAATACGAGCCGCCATCCATGGGGTTTGTGGAATTTTCACTTCCACCACCGCTGCTTGCTACGCTATTAAAGAGACTCCGACACTTGGAAGTCCGTCTTACTGGCGATTGTTGGTTACTCTTACAGCTGCTACTGCTGGTTGTGTTGCTACTACTATTATTGCTGCTAGCATTGAGACGAGAGTTTGGTAAGACATTATGTTGAAAGTGGTCGCCAGGATTTAAAGAACTTCGTAAACATCCAAATCGGTTGTCGGTGTCACCACAGGAATTACTCTTAGCTATAACCGGTTTATCCTCGTAGACATTGTGTGTCTTTTGTAAGGAATGCGCACGGTGAATGTGTGGCAGTTGCCCGGTAGTATTTGGCACCTCGAGTAGATCAGATAAATCCTTCTCGTGATTTGAGGGAATTTCTCTTGAAGTCGAGTGAAACACTTCGTTTTGTGAAAGTTCTTCGGTAGAAGATGTCTCACTTGGCGTGGCAACCAAGTGGTTTTCTGCTGCTGGAAATTCATTCCTTTGCAAACCTTTAATGTGCATGTCTTTAGTAATAAATTCTGGTGCAGTGGTGACAAAGAAGATATCTCTTTTTGATGTAATAAGCTGTATTTCCGGCATCATGACTGTATGAACTAGGTTTCCATTCACCAGGAGGCGAATTTCCATTGAATCCGATGTGAAACCTAGTATGTAAGGGAAGGCGCATACAACACTTGTGGGTGAAGTATTCCAGTGGAAGTCAAAGTTATTTTTTAAAACATTCCTATCGCTCAGCTTCTGGAAGTGGCAAGTATCTAAAATGAAAAAATTAAAAAAATTTAACGGAAATACATTACGGAGAAAATTTTGAATGTTTAATCTCAACAAAATTTATTGTTTATGTAAGTTTATACAGATGTATTTATATATTGCTTTATAACTTTTATAACTTTATGGTGTGCGTCTTGATTATTTTCCAACAAATGGAGTGACCTGCTGTGTTTTTTTTTCCAAGCCGCCTCCGAACGACTGATGGTTTTTTATGAGAAGCTTTTATTTTATTTCATAAATATACTCTGAGGGTTGTTGAGGGGCGACCGATATTAGAAAATAGGATTTAATTTTTGATTAAAATTATTTTTCTATAACTTTTGAATGTTGGATGGAACCCGAACGGGAACCCAGGCTTTACGAATGGCTGTACGCAATGCTAACCACTCAGCTATAGCGGGTTATCTCTTACATTAACATACGAGGTGTGACAAATAAGTAATGAGACTGATACCATAAAAACCGTATATTTCAAAACTATTCTACAACTCTGCCATCCCCTTCGCTGGTAGGACCGCGAGTACCCTCGTCAGTGCCGCCTGGATGTCCCTAATTGACTCAAAATGCGTTCCTTTGACCACCGGGTGACATATCGGGTGAAAAAGGCGATTGTTGCAACACGGACACGTCGAGCGCGGTATGACACGGCGCTGATGGAGGATCCAGTTACGAGCGATGTCTGGACGCACGCTGTTGACTCGCTTTCGTAATCTCTCGGGTACTTGGCGATAGAAGACTTGATTTACGATTTGCCCCGGTGGAAGAAATTCCTTTGTGGACGATTCCACGGCTATCAAAAAAGGCAATAATCATCGTTTGCACCTTCGAGCTTTTTTCGGACGGGGGCGTGCGGACACAACCATTGTGAGTTTTGAAGTTTGGCTTGCGCATCGTATTGAAAAAAAAAAAAACAGCTCCCACATACAATTTCAACATGCGTTTCCGAAGGTGTTTCACCCAATTTGGCGCAAAATTTTATCGCGACGCGTTGCTGTTGATTTCGTTTTTCCATTTTCGTGACGAGCACCACGAACACACGACACAGCAGGCGAACTAAACAGGCTAGAGCGATGGCAAATATATCAATGGAGAGGTGAAGGATGCCGGGAGAAGGAAAAGGGAATTTCAGGGTAGCAGGGTTACCACAATCGCGGCTATATAATCAGTCTCATTTCTCTATTGCCACACCTCGTGTTTGTTTATTTTTTTCAATAGTTGAGGTTGAACGAATTACACAAACAAAAATACACTTAGAATGGAGTATTAGAAAATGTGAAAAAAGGCTTTCGAAGATGAAAAATATACTTTCATAGAACTTGAGATAAAATTCAATTCATTGAGTCTTCTTGTACCAAAATATACCTTGTCAAATGCTTTGCTTAAGTCAGTGTAGATAACATCAGTTTGAATACCATTTTTGAAACCATTACTGGGTGGTGATTTCTAGCAGGTTCGGTACGGTAGATATTCCTTGTCAAAACTCAAGTTTTGAGATTTTTAATATTAATTGACGGAGGTAAAATGTATGACTCTTTCCACGAAGAATGTTATAAAATTTCCTTTAATGAAGATTTTTATTGGTATATATGTATAAAAGAAATCATCACAAAGTTTAAGTACATTAGTCGGGATATTATCCGGACAGCACGTTAGTGAGCTCATAAGGGCATTGAGATGAGAAGGATATATAATTTCAGCAGAAAGATGAAATACCATTACGTAATCAAAAGAAAGCAAAAAAGTAACAGTAAATGCATGGCTGCAGGGTCGAAATTGAGTTCGGCTCATAAGTAGATTCGAAAAAGTCTGCGAACATATCTGCGATTCTTTAACAATCACTCAAAACTTCATCATTCATTTAAATACAGATGAAGGAATCCCAAAAGTGTTCCGTTTCTAATTAACAAAACTATAGAATAACTTCGGATTCGAAGTAATGTTATTTTGAATTCTTGTCATATACTTCTTGTAGCACGACTTATTCAAAATATTATTCTTTTGTCTAATTTCGGAAGAGGTTAGCAATTTCGTCATCTTTTTACAGAGCTTTTATAATCTAATCTGCTTATATTTCAAGCTTTTGGTTCATTTTTTATAGGAACAAACTTTCTGAAAGTGGAAAGTAAAACGCTTGTGCAGTGCGAAACGCTTTCCTCCACATTTCCATTATATCTTGGCCAGGAAATTGTTTAAACAAAAAACTATTGTTTTACAATTAGTAAGTAGTTAGCGAATAATTAAGTTCGGATGGAACATTTAAAAAGATGGTAACAATTTTCTTGCAAAACAAAAGTATCACAGCGACTTATAAAAAATGTCGAAACATCATCAAAAAAAAAAAATAGATCCAAAGCCTTTCATCTAGCTCTAAACAAAGCACAAAGCCAACATGATATATGATGCTTAATATTATTTTTCAAATTACATTTTTCAGAGAAAACCAAACTGTAATTTCCTCTTATCTAAATACATTTATGTAAATGTATGTAAGTAAATAGAAAAAATAGAAATGTTAGCATTATTTAATCTCGTAATATACACAAATAATCAAATGAGTTAAACAAAATACTATATATAGCAACGAGGGTAGTTTAATGTTTAGAATAAATTTTAAGTTTTTGTCACTTTAAACAGCTCCGCATCTAAATCTAACCCAGAAACCTTTGAATTCTGTACACCCTTGGTATGTAAAAATTCCGCAATTAGGGATTTGCCTCAATCAGTGCGTATCATATCGAAGATAGGCAAATGTTATTCCATTTCATCTCGATAAATAGGAAGGGTAACTACGGAATAAAACAAATTTCATACAGATGCCGAATGTATGGAAGTAATGCAAAGATTATTTAGCGCTCTTCCTATATTCTTTGGAAGGCGTACTTTACGTTTAGCAGCTTCCATGGAATCTTTTTAGTCTATTATAAATTGAATTATTTGTCTATGTATGTATGGTACATCTGCTGGTACTTTTGGCTTCACTGATACTTTCCACACTACTATATGCTATTTATACTTTCTATATCTATATTCCACACCATTAACAACAATACAGTAGTTGAATTTTCTTAAATCATATTCAAATTAATTTAGAATCTTACGGTTGAAGCACAGCAGTAGTTCGGTCTCCAATCCATCACAGAGTTCGATAGCCGCCGTCAGTTGGGTTTGGTTTCCCTTCACCGATTCCAACTCATAGAGCTTATTCGTTGTACCAGTTTGATCACAGACAATTTCATAATGATACCTGGGATTGCAAGAGATAAATAAAACATATTGGCTGTAAGTTTATTACTAATTGTAAAGCCTTTGTTGGGATACTTACTTGTAGCCCACACAAATGAGTCCTCCCGCATTAGTGTTAGTCGGACCCTCAAGTGGAGTAATTATACTTGGCGACTCACTCAGTATGATTTCTCTTTGGTAGATAAAACCTTCCGCGGTCTCTGTGTCGTTCTCGGAACACCAAGATGCCCAGGCAGCCGAGTGCTTCCATTGGAATAACTGTAACTTACGATTAATTGCCACCACTAGACGCAAATGTCCGCTGCTAATACGTGAACACGTATTCAAATGACACCCGCGTGTCCGCTCTATGCGCCGCTCTTTCACCTCTGCTCGATTGCGGCAACGCAGACTACCCTCCCCCTGCTTTGTTTGAAATTCGCGCAAACGAAATACATGTATACGATGAGCATCGCGATTAGTTGGCGAACCGCCACGAACTAGCACGAGGCCATGATCCTCCAGTACGCTGAGTTGGCGTACTTGAAATGACTTGTTGAATATAACCTGTAGTGATTGGTCCTCTGCAATGTTATAAGAGTACACTTGTTAAAATGGATGTATGTCAATAGCTCATGAGGTCATCAATCTTGTCTCAATAAAAATAAATTTAAAACAATCATGCCAATAACTATTTTTATATTATTCGGAATTAGATTTGTTTTTAAAATGTAGGTGGTTCAAGCATCAGTACCCAAGAAGTGTGACTTCATTAGCCCAAAAAAGAGGACTAATAGTCAAACAACGAAGTCATAGTTGAATATCAATATAAGCTCTAGTAAAGAGTAATCCATTATTTTTGCATTAAGTTGAGGGCTTTATTTACCAGAGTTAGTAATATTCCATTTAGGTCAAATATGTACCGTTTTGCTCAATAACTTTTTTTCCAAGGTTGTATCATAAAATCTCTGCCTCATAGAAACTTTCGGCCCTATTGGCTTAAATTGGGACAAGCTCTCGGAGCTTCTGGCACGTCACTATCGATCTGGAGTTGTACTGATGAAATTCATTTTCACTCCTGTTGACCAAAGCTTGCGCTTCAGGGCTTTCTTCAGATTTTGGAATTGCTGACAATATAGGTACGAATTAAGAGCAGGACCGTGGCTGAATAGCTAATAGTGAATGTTTTCTTGCCAATTCTACCAAATGCACAACTTCTTTGCCGGCGATTATAGGTTGGATACCACTAACGTTTTTATTTAACGTTCTGAAAGTGATCTACTTGCCATAACCAGTCACCAACCGCTTGAGATATGGGTCAGTTTTATAACGATTGAGCAGCAGATGGAAATTCGGTTCAGCTTTTTCAAGTTGTACCAAACTGGTCTGGTAAAGCAGTACAATATAAGGACCATGAATGACATTTTTCACATTTTCAGCTGCCTGACTAAAACCATCTATTACATAAATATTGTATTAATCGTTTCTCGCCACCAGTGTGATCGGAATATAAAAATAGTATATAAATATATGTATATATATATATGAGTATATAATTGACACTTTGTAACCGCTTGCCTTTGAAATGAATGTACAATTAATGGATATTTATCTTACCTTTCATTAAAAATGTGCCATTATCTGTAGCAATAAATAAGCATTCATCGTTGCTTCCGAATGAGTCTCCCGCCAGTATGGTGTGATGGAGAAATGAAGGATAGAAACAATGTGGCTCCCACGGCGGTTTGCGGAATATCGTACAAGGACTAGCTGAAGCGATGCTAGTTGGTGCATTGCCACGCACGATAGCCTCTAGTTTCAGTGCCTGACCGATGCGCACAAACTCTATTTGGCGTGCGTCCTCCTTCAATTTCGATGTACGGGGCACGTCGTAGAGAACCTCAGAAAAGGCCCGCCTGTTTAGCATATTCTGCAATGCGAACGATAAATTACATAGAAAAGTTTACAAATGGCGGTGTCTCAGTATTTCGATATGTAAAGCAAAAGACGGAATTATATTGGAATTTTGTTTAAATACCAAATAATTCAGATTTTGTCCAAAAGTAATCCCACATAACAATGACCTAAAAAAACGTCTAGGAATTATGGAAGAGCCTGCAAATTAAAAAAAAAGCTGGAAAATTCTTCGCAAAAATAACTATTTCGCGTCAAGTTTACCGTTACAGAATATCTAAGCACTTGATCGTGGATATGTAAAGTAAAAAATAACAATAAATAAAAGCGTCACATGTGTAGCTTAACGGGATAACCATTGGCTACTGCTGTGGGCATTTCAAGTTCGGTTCCAATACAAGCAAAGGTGTCTGGAAAAAGAAGTCTGATGAGGAAGCTTGGTGGTTTCCGAAATAGTAGCTATAACTTCTACCGTCCAAACTGTTTTTGTGTTTTTTCAGTATTCTAAAAAATATATGGTCTCAGATAGCTCCATAAAACTGAAACCCTTTTAGATTTTGAATAATATCAATGCAATGACTTCACCAATAAAGTATTTTATGTTGACTGTAATTGTATACCGGCAATATGAAGTTCTGGTTGCCGCTGCTAAGCAGGCCAGACATTGAATGTGGCGGTGATGTAGTCTAATCAAAGATAATATAAGGCTGAAATCTCTCAAGCCTATCATAGCACTGGTAACAACACCATATGAAAGACCTTCAACAGTTGATACGAAAGAAGCGCCTGTGTTACTTACGCAGAACACAATTCACTATTATTAAAAACAAATATATATTATTAAATACAAATATATATTAAAGTTATAACTAAAAGTAGCGTACAGGGGTTCAGCTAAAAATATCGAATTAGCTAGAAAAAATTCAAATTTAAAATTTTCAGAATACTCTCTCAAAATAAAGATTTTCATATATGTGTATGTAAAGTTCGGCATATGAATAATTGTTGCCCACAAAGAAGCAATCGCTTTTCCTGAAGGTTGAAAGAAAATCTGGTTTATTTGTTTCAATTTCGCAAGATAAGCATTTATTTTAAGGTAATTTAAGTTATAAGTTTATTTAACTTACCATCTTAGTATCTCCTACATAATCTTCGAACAAATCTTTTATGAGCATATCCAAGGTTCTCTCTCTCTTTTGTGAAAATATCGGCGTTTGAAATGTTGCTTTTTCAGCGTTAATCATTTTCACAAGTAAAAATTCTCGAAACATCGCAATGTCCTGTGCATAAAATTATAAAAGCATATATTTTTTAAATATGCTATGCCAAAATCTATCATTTATGGGTATAATAGTATTTTAGGATAAAATATTGCAAATTTTTTATATTAATTTATTTGTCTTAATGTATGTAAATAATTTGCGCGTTATAAGCATTGAAACCATTTTAGAGATACTCGGGTAACAAGCAATGCAATCAGCGCGATATTCTTTTGATTGCACGATTGTTGTTGTTGACAACATGAACTGCAGAAGAAAAATTTTCAAATTAAGTTTCCAAAATTTCTTTGGCTCTTCAACCAATAAAGAATAATGAACCGGTGTTTGAGTGTTCTTTTTCCAAATGGTCCAATAAGTATAAGTGATCGAAAGGTGCAAGCGACAAAAATGTGGTCATACATCACCTTGTCTTATTGCATCTTGGTAACTCGGTACGATATTCCGATATATTATATTTATAAATATTTAATTACATACATTATACTTTAAAGCGTTTCGATATAAATAGTTTAAAAAATCTTTGTTCGTATATGTTATACGCGTATTTCTTTAATAAAACCTATGTGTGATGGTAACAGCATTATTTTATACGTACCGTAAATTGAGGGGGATTCGGAAGCGTCGGTCCGAAAGGTGGCACATTTTCATCGCAAAATACAGCCAAATGGTAAGCATTGTCAATTTTCGTGACCACCATAAATATGTCTATGGTAAAAATAAGAGAGATCCCAAATTACAATTTTATAGGTTTGAATTGCGATCGCTTAGCTATATTTATCTTTTTTCAAGAATCAATTTATCTCTAACAAATTGATGCTACTGAATGAAATTCACTCGTTTTATTTCATACTTACGCACCTGGTATACACACATGGAAACTGACAGATCAATAAAATAATTGAAGCAATCTATTACACTGGTAAAAAAAATCCTTTCTGTAATTGCATTTTTCTATGAATCTGACTATCGAATAATTTTTTGAAGATAGCTTACAGCGTTACTTTTGTATTTATTATCAGATTTCTCCTTGTCTAGGAAATTACTCATAACCAAACCAAATGGCGAAGCAGAGGTTAATTTTGTTATCGAAGCGAAATGAAATTGTTAATAAAGAAACCGCGTAAATTCATCGTTAAAGTTAATTGTAATATAGTTGCCTGTGATATTAACAGCACACTTCAAATCAAACATTTAACATTGTCTGTTAACGATGTCATTTCGTTTCTGGTAAAAACAAAACAAAATATATTTGTATATTCTTATTCAGGCTCTATAAAAAGTCTAGCAGCCATTCATTCACCCTTACCTAATGCCTTCTTTTGATTATAGACATTCACAACATGGGTTTTGCAATGTCAGTAATGGTTTCAAAATTGGTAATCAATCAGATGTTATCTACACTGACTTCCGCAAAGCATTTGACAAGATCTCTCATCCTTTACTACACTTAAAACACGATCATTTCGGGTTTCCACCTTCTCTTCTCAAGTGGATTTCATGGTATTTGATTGGTCGAAAACAAAAAATAATTTTCAAAAATTGTACATCACGTGAAATAGCAGTAATATCTGGTGTTCCTCAAGGCAGTCACCTCGGTCCCTTACTCTTACTTATATTCATCAATGACCTTTCAAATGTTGTTCTTCATTCTTTAATACTCATGTACTCAGATGATGTCAAGCTCTTTAAGTCAGTTCATTCTATTGAAGATAGAAAGCTTTTGCAACTTGAGCCAAATAATTTAATTAGGTGGTGTGATGCTAACTGTATGTTCCTAAATTTAAATAAGTGCAAATATATGTGCTTCTCCAGAAAATCTTTCCAATCCTCTGCCTAAAGGAGTTTTAGCCTTCTCTAAAAGTTGGGCTAAGGAATTCAAGGACCCATACATTACCAAGATACTCTTTACCTCACTTGTCAGGCCCATTTTGGAATATGGCTCAGTCGTATGGAGTCCGTACTATCAATTGTATAGTGATAAATTGGAATCTGTACAAAAGCAATTACTGTTATTCGCGTTAAGAAATTTAAGCTGGGATGCGAACAAGAACATTCCTTTTTACAAAAGTCTTTTACGGCTCATTAATCTACCTGCACTCCATACCCGTAGAAAGGTGCTTGGAGTCAATAGCCCTTTCCTAATTAGCGAGCTTAACTTTACCATCGCGTTAAGATCATCTAGACACTTAAGACCCCTTTCATTGGGCTCGTGCAGAACAAACTTTGAAATGCCCGACCATTTAAGATCTTTGTGTAACGATTTTAATACACATTTCCCCAAAATTGATTCCTCTGACTCGCATTTCTGTATCAAGCTCTACTTGCTAAGTGCTTTAAATAGTTAAATAAATTTCCTCCTCTTATCCTCGTGCAATTTTATAGCAGCTGATGAACAAATCTGTAGTTGTTTAGTGTAAGAGGCAAGAGTAACTGCGCGATCGGTTTCGGGTTCAGGGCAGTCCGGACTGTTACTGGTTTTCGGTCACCGGTCTGTTGGATTTTTCGATTTCTCTCAGACGCGCCCTTCGTTCGGTTGGGCGGGAGGTGGGTAACGCTGGGTTCATCGTAAAAAAAACTGCTTCAACGATAACATTGACTAATTTTTCAACCAAATCGATTGTTTTTTTTCATTAAATTTAAATATTTCGCCCTTACAGCCTTGGTTCTAAGCATTGAATTCGACTTCAGTCACTGATGTGGAAATATTAGGATCTCTCACGAATTGCCTAATTCGTGGCCTAGAAAAGCGCCTTCAGAAACGTTTTGATTATACCGAGTTAAATATGAGAAATGAAACGTTCTCGGCTAACTAAACTCTAATTTATAAATTTTTTTACAAGCTCTTTTTTAGTTCTTTCCGCACACCAAACCAACTATCCCAGAGACACAGGAAACAAGGGAACTTTCGGAGCATCCTTGGTTACCTCAAAGATAGTTAAACATTTTCAGACACAAATGACTAATTAGAAAGAAATGCGTCTTCTTAAAGTCACTGAATGAGCATTAAATATAGATCCGTATTTATTGTTTTTATGAAGCAAACTTCTTTTGCTGCTATGAATAAAAAGACGCCAACCACTAGGGTGAAAGCTAGGCTGTACTCCTCGTTGACTGTTGATTTTCACAATGTAGAAGTAACAATCGTCTTTGTGGATTCGAGGTTGGCGCACATCTATACCACATGATTCATATCAAAAACAACAACAAAATATATTTGAATGTCCAATAAAAACGATAATCTAAGTAGAAATAAATATCTCAAAAATAAAAACTAGAAAATCATTGTCGCTATTTGTGAAAACTACACTATTAACTGTTTTTTGTTGACCCATACCATCTATAATTCTGGGAAATACTGAAAGAGATGTTCAAGTAGGACTGTTCACTTACGCGTAAATTGACTCTTAATCCATGAGGGATCGAACGAAGTAGGCAGTGTAAACTCACTGTTACTTTTTGTTTGGGACGTTGGCACTTTCAGTTCTTCATTGCTTGGATTGATGTCGCATGCTGTAGACTGATCAATGAAAATAATATTGACAATGTCATTTCCGATGTGACGCTTACGTTCCACCTAATATTTTTTGAAAAATAAGGAATTTATTACCTTCAGAAAGTTACTCTGGGATTCTGTAGGCAGTCTCTAGTCTCAAATATAAACTTCTTATCTAGTCAGTTGTATAAAGACAAAAAAATAATAATTTGCGATTGGCTGCTTAGCAGAGTGAGAAATATCAATGTAGGAAATTTGTTTGTTTACATAATCGTTTCTATTAAAAGTTGTTAAATAAATTAAGGAAAATAAGTTCAGTCCAATGAACAATCGTAGTTATGAAAATTAATACTAAATAATCTTCAATCAAATTACTGTTAAGTGTATAGGAACATCTTTAACTAGAAGTGGCTATGAACTTTAGTTAGTTTACTTTAGTGAATTTTAAATTGCCTCTAGCATCACAATCATTTTGAGACTAGTAACTGATCAAAATACAGAGTTCCGCTTTTCAAATGACTTCTTACTAATGTTACCAACTCACCTGTTGCCGATTATCCCGGGAATATGGTAGCAAAGTTGACACGTGGAACATTATTTCATGGCCCTCATACAGAGTATATACAGAGTATTTCCCCGTCATATCACCTGTTGAATTTCCAATAGATGTAACAAAGTATTACCGGTTAATAATGGAAATCTAAAATCAAACTTTTACTTTAAAAAAATTTCTAAATATTTCATCAAAACTGATTTCAAATAATGATATTTATAATATGATGAATTTTTAGTTGTTATTAACTTAATTATGTTTTAGTTCTTCATAAAAAACCAGCAACCGTTCAGATGCGGCTTTGAACAAACTATAGGAAACGCGCACACTACAAAATGCAGGAAGGGCTCAGTCGAAAACCGCATCATCATTTCCCATCAAAACGCGAAGCGTTGCCAAGCTGGAACCATTAGTTTCATAAAAGTTTGTTTTTAATTGTTAATTTTAATGCATTTACATAAATGCCTGATTTTTAGCTAAAAATGGAGTTTCTGTCGCAAAAAAAGAAATTTGTTTAGTACATTACACCTCCACACTATCTGAAAACCGAACACCGAGTCTGTTCATTGTCTGCTCGTTACCTATATCAGAAACACAGTAAATGAATATTTTAATATATTAATGGGATTAACAAAAGTTCGGTAAGTTGACCAGGAAAAAAAATTCAATTTGTATTTATTCGTAATCTTTGTCTTTATTTATCTTTCCTACATGATCGCAATTGTTTTCAATGCATTTCTTAAGCCTTTAGATCCACTTCTGAAAACAGTCTTCAAAACCTAGTTTTTTTAAGCTTTTCAAGTTTTGCATTCACCGTTTACTATCTCCTCGTTGTTATTAAAGACCTAAAATTGTTTTTTAATTCTTGGTAATAACCAGAAATTGTAAGTGGGAAATATGGTGTTGGATGCATTTCTTCGATTCCTGTTTTCCAACAAATTTTTGAAAACTTTTGGTAAGTACTCTTCGATGAATGATTTTCCAGTTACTATCTGACCGTTTTTAAGTGGAATAGCAGCTACGATTTTAGATCAGGTGAAGTAAACAGACATCATTACTTTTGCTTTTCGTGTATCCCAGATTATTGCGTAATTTTTGCGATACAGCCATGGCATTCAAGCCCAATTCATTAGCAATCATTTCTTGTGCCAATCGAAGGTCTTCATCAATTTTGGACTTCACCTGAGCAACAGTGACGTCATCAGGGGAAGTTTTTGTTTAACCTTCTCGGGCTCTACCTCTACGGAAAAATGTCTGGGCTGAAATCTTCGGAGCCCTATAGAAATAGTTATTAAATACATTGAAATCGTTCCATATGCAATTTGACATTTACAGAATATTTATACTGGCTGTAAATTACCCCGAAACCCGAAGAAAATCACATGGCGAGTTTCTGTGTCCTCAGCCATCTTTCGTTTTCTCGTCTCCATTTTAGTCGATCGTTTTGAAAGAAGACTAATGAAGTAATTGCAAAGGATTTAGTATTTTTAGATTTAACAAAAATAAATTGAAAGTCACTAACTGACCGAACTTTTGTCAATCCCCTCGTATGCTGCTATTTTCTTACCTTTTACGTCTAAGCCACCACGAAAGCGATCCCAACCTTTTAAACGAATCCGTTCGCCCAATATTTGCAGGAAATCTTCAAAGTCATGACTCGCATCCCCTGTAAGAGATAGTATTTTTCAGAATAAAACCAAAAATACATTATGAAAAAAGTGAATAGTTGTTACAATGTATGCAAAAAAGTCGAAAAAAGCATCCTGTTTAGTTAAAGGTCGGACATTTTTATAAATATTAAATTCAAGATGTTAGCCCTTTTCGACGTCGGACAATATTGCGCTTTAGTGAACATTATATTTCCCCGAAAATGAAGCCTATTCGTTGGCTGTAAGGGGTGCAGCACTGATTTGTTTTAACTAAAGTGCTTTTACATCAACGTTTTCAAATCCAGGGTCAAAAAAGTCATTAATCATGGCTTTATAACCTTTCCCATTGACTATAACATTATGACCGGCCTTTTAGTACCAAGTGATACACCACACTGTGATTTCCTCAGGTTGTAACGGTGTCGCAACAATGCCGTGTGGATTAGCATCACTTCCCTGAACATAATTTTGCTTGTAAAAATCGGAAAAGGTTGATGCGTGTGAAACAAGTATTGCCTCATTGAAAACCACAAATCCTCATCTAAAAAAATACTCTTACTAACTTATTGTGTTGACTTACGGTTGCTCAACATTTCGTCATCGCACTCTTGGCCTGGTTTCATATAAAGTACGCCAAATTTGAAATTCACTGAACCTTCTTGCTCTTCAAGTAGTAATAAATCCTTTTGTATGTCGGCTGTAAATATCTCTTTTGGATTTTTAACTGATGAATCCATACCAGTGAAATGGGTTAATATCTGCTTAACGGTTAGCTTTTGGTGTGGTTGGTAAGGAAGTGCAATTTTTTGTGTACCCTGCAGAATGAGATACAGAAAATTATGATATATTTGTATAATAAAAAAATTATTCGAAATTATTCTTAAAGAGTTAACTGCACATTTTATTTATTTATTTATTTACAAGAGAACTAATTATAAATAATTAATTCACTAAAGAAACAAGCACTGGCTGCCAAGGCCTTCGGCTGTCAATATTAAACATAATGTATACCTTAAGAATTTACATTTACCGACTATGCCTTTGTCTATTTACAGCATTAAATATCTCTAATATTACATAATTTAAGGAATTTGTTGATAGCCCGGATGTTATCGATACTTGGTGTTTTAAGAAGGTTTGATGGCTTCATGTTACCGAATATAGTTGACCTGTTTTGGCGCAGGTTAATGCATTCATCTAGTATGTGGGTCGCCGTGACGTTAGAGTTGCATGGTATACACCAGAGTTTTTCGGAGCCCTTTAAAAGATGAGAATGTGTTCTTGAAGTGTGACCTATTCTCAGGCGTATAAAAGATTTTATTTCATGGCTCAAGCCCTCCGTAGGGTAAATAGGCTTGGTGCCAGTAGGATTGTGGTTTTTGTAAGGATGGTTATAGTTTGACCATTCTCTAGCTAGCGTTGAATTAAGGAAGCTGTGAACTTGACTACGAATGTCTTTTGCAGTAAAAAAGTTGAACATGTGTATTGGTTCGTTACCTGCTTTTTTAGCACGGTCGTCAGCGATTTCGTTGCCTTTAATGCTAGCGTGCCCTGGGATCCACATGACTTTGATTAAATTATTATATTTATATAGCATTTCACGTATATTTGCAATTAATATCGTTGAATTTCTTTGGTTTAATATTGCACTTATTGTCGATTTACTGTCAGTGCATATAATGTGTTTTTCACCAGATAGTGCAACGAAGTGAACTGCTTCATGTAATGCAGCAGCTTCAGCTGTAAGTACAGAGCAATATTTTGGTAACGAACCGATTGTGATTGTGTCGTCTTGATCGTTTGTCACGGCAAACGTAGTGTGGGTATCTGATTTTGATCCATCGGTGTATATGAGCTTCCACTCGTTTTTATAAGGCGAAATAGTGGCGTTGAAAAGCTGAAGATATTGGTTAGCATTTGTGTTTTCTTTTTTGTGGTTTGAAAGATCGTTTATTATTGACGAATTGAAAGATATCCATGACGGGTAGGTAGTTTCTTTGATGAGCTCTGGCTTCGCAATTATGTTGGCTTCATTAAGATAATTTAATGTTTTCATTATTGTTGTTGGCTTATTTGTTGGACGTTTTGTTGCTTTCACTATATTAAATAGGAGTTGACTTTTGCATTGAAGTAACTTCGGTATAAGCATCGTCGTATTGCATAGTGTCCTATGATTAATTTGTGGAAGACCAGCTTCAGTTAACACCGCTTTGATTGGAGAAGTTGGGAAAGCACGGATGCTTCTTCTCGCTGCTGTATGATAGGGTGCATGAATTTGTGAGAGATGGCTTTTTGGGCATTTGCCGTAAATTGCCAGACCAAAGTCTATTTTCGATAACAACAAGGCTTTTGTAATATTAACTAGAGTTGATGAATGAATATGGCAGTGCTTAGAAGTAAGAAACTTAATAATATTTAACCTAGAAAATAAGCTTATTCTAAGATATTTACAATGATCTTTATAAGTAAGTTTCTTATCAAAAATTATGCCAAGAATTCTTAGGGAGTCTGTGTGTGGAATTTGGGTATTGGAGAAGGAAAGGTTCGGAAACTTACATTTTCGTTTCCTGCAAATGTGGAAGGATGTGCTCTTATTTAAGGAAATTTTGGTGCCTGATGATTTGGACCACTCGGATATGTCGGTTAAGATTTTTATAAATATTGATTTGACTTGCGCTAGATCTTTCAGATCCGAGAAAATTAACACATCGTCCGCGTATATTACGTGGTCTATGTTTGGATTTGCATATATTAAGGAACTAAGTTCATTAAAAGCAATAATGAATAGCGTTGTCGAGAGGGGAGAACCCTGTGGAATACCATTATAAATTGCGTGCGTATTGGACATGTGGTTTTTAACATTAACGCAAAAGTATCTATTAGATAGAAAAGCCTTGATGAGGTTATGCATTTTACTTCCGATTCCCCATTTTCTTAACTCCTGTAGTACAATATGGCCACCAATTCTGTCAAAGGCTTTCTCAAAGTCTAGACTTAGGACCGATAAGTGGTTTTTGGAAGACATAGCTGTTGACGGATGATGTTCAAAGTACAGAAGAGGATCGATAACACTGAGGCCGGTTTGAAAAGCGAACTGATTTGGGCTTATGAGTCCCTTTCTTTTGGCATACCACATGATTCTTCTGGAAATTATTTTTTCAAGAACTTTTGACATACAAGGTATTAAAGAAATGGGTCTGAAATCTGAGAGAGACGTATTTGCTTTATTTGGCTTAGGGATAGGGATGATTATGGCTTTTTTCCAGTCTTGGGGATAAATACCTTGATCCATAATACGGTTGTATAAAGTTATAAGCCTAGTTTTTAGGGTGTGGGGTAGGTTTTTTAAAAGGGGGTAAGAGATTTTGTCAGATCCCGGAGTTTTACCGGTCATATTGCGAATCGTACAGTCGAACTCTTCTATTGTAATTGGGGATTCAACAAGAATAGCTTCAAGACATGGTGTAGGATTCTGATAATTTTCTGAGATTATTTGGCTTGAGAGTGTACTGAAGTTAGCATGAAAATTCGAGTTGTGAGATATATTTGACCAGGTTGACGCAAAACTTTCTGCAATTTCTTGGGGATTATAAATCGGACCTTGCGACGAGTAAACGAAATCTATTCTATTATGTTTGGAAATTCCAGAAATAGCTTTTATGTCACTCCATATTTTTTTGGGGTTGGAGTTGGGATTTATGTTAGCGGTGAGATTCTGGAAAGCTTGGTATTTAGCAGATTTTAATTCTCTTCTGAAGAGCGCATTTGCTTTTTTAAACTTAATTAAGTTCTCTATAGACCTGTTTCGTTTATATGACGCCCAGAGTGATTTTTTTGTACTCCTTAAAGTTTCTAGGAACTTTGACCAATACGGAAGTTTGGCGTTGAATTTTCTTGTATTGGTCTGAGGTACGGAAATATGAGCGGAGGAGCGTATAATTCTTTTTATTTTAGCTGCTTCCGCGTTTATATTATTTGAAATTTCGTTAGAGTTAGATAGTTTACAGATAAGTGCGCAGTAATTAGGCCAATTGGCTTTATCTGTTAAAAACTTTGATTTCGGTTTAACGGTGTACAGAGTAGAAGATGCTAGGGTTGTTATAATTGGAAAGTGGTCACTATTGTGAAGGTCATCTAGTGTGAACGATGTAAGCTTAGGGGCAATGGATGCAGAACTAATGGCAATATCTATGTGGGTGAAGGAATGATGTGAAGAGAAGTGAGTAGGGGCTCCATCATTAAGCACAACAAGGTTTTTTGCCATTATTGCGTCTTCGATTAAAGCGCCTCTATGGTTTCTAGAAATCGAACCCCAAAGTGGGCTCCATGCATTGAAATCACCTAAAATGATAAATGGTGTTCTAAGTGCATCTATTATATCAATGATATCTTTGGAGCTAAAGCTTTGTTGAGGTGGAATATAGCATGAGACTACAGAGAGTTTGAAACCCATGTCAAGCTCGATTGCTACAATGGAGATATTTGACGAAATGAGAATTCGCTTGTGGTTGATTGTTTTGTTGATGAAAATTGAAGTGCCTTGCTTCGCTGATTTATTTTGGGGAAGATTGTGGTAATATCCTATGTATTTGTGCGGAGTGTATGCTGTTTTATTTACTGGAAGGTGAGTTTCTTGCAAGGCAATTATGTGAGGTGAATATTGATTAATTAATAAGTTTAAGTCTGGGTAGTTGTTGAATAGACCTTTTAAATTCCATTGCAGAATTTTCATGATCTATTCAAAGGGAGAGTCAGTTGATGAGGGGATGAGAGATGAACTATTAAGGTGAGAAATAAAGTTTGTAATAAGTGGAATTGTTGTTGTATAGTCGAGAGCTAATGTTTCAGAGTCTTCGACTGCCATTGTTGTTGGGGAAGAGTGCGTTGAGTGTGTTGAGTTTGCTAATATTTGTCTGTTTTCTTTTGGTTCGCTGTTCATGCTTATGGGTGTTGAATTGGGTGAGAGATTTGTAGATTGAGAGAATGGTGCTTCAGATTCTGATACTAGTTCGTTAATATTGTTAACATTGACTGTAGTTTTGTCGAGTACATTGGAGAAAGAAGGGGATGAGACGTTAAATGTGGGTGGTATTTTTGCTTTCTGGATATTGATCGCTTCGCGAAAAGAGCATTTATTGTCAGTTTGTATGGTGATTATCTCTTTTAATTGAATGAATTTTGGGCATGATTTACTTGCAGAAGAGTGATCGGCTAAGCAATTTACACAATGAGAACGTGTACAAGGTGACGGGCTGTGCGGTGGAAGAGCACAGGTATCGCATACAGGGGGCTTGTTGCAACGTTTTTTTGTATGGCCAAGAACTTGACAATTCTTGCACCTCATAGGGTTTGGATAGTAGGGTTTCACCTTGACTGTGTACCAAGAAACATCGATTTTTTCAGGTAGATAGTATCGATCGAAAGTTAGGAGTACAACTCCACTTTGAGTTGGTTGTCCTTTCACAAATTTTGGAAATTTGTAGGCTGCTGTAACGCCCTGTTCTTTTAAATTTTCAATTATTTCTTCTACACTAACATCGTTCAAGCAAGGAGCGTAAATGGTACCTTTAGAAGAGTTGAGATTTGCATGCAGGTCGATTTTAACATTGCAAATTCCCGCCAGCTGCTTTGTTGCTGTAAATTTTTTTGCTATTATGCTATTCTTGACAAGTAGTAATAGGTTTCCATCCCTAAGTTCACTTATTTTTATAATTTCTGAGCTAATTCCTTTTAATGCCTTATGAACAGCGAAGCAAGAAAATTTGTTCATGGTTTTATTTGTTTCCAATGAACTAACGACTAAATACTTGGGACTTTCTTTCGTTATTTTTGGTAGTAATGGGAAAAGTTCGTCTTTTGGAATTTGATTTCCTTTCTTTTTTTTTTTGATTGAGGACTAGGGGATAATAAGGCGAACCTATTATTCCCTAGGGAACTACCCCGAGGGGGCATGTTTGCACAATTTTTCACTATCTTGTTTACACAAAAGGTAGGAACACGTGCGCGAAAGCAAAAGAGAATAGTAAATTGGTATGTGTTAATAGCACTCACAAAGTCAATGTGTGAACAAACTAATCACTGAGAGCACAACCGAATACGTTGAGTGGCAGTCGATGACTGTAACTGCACATTATTCGAACCCTTTGACATCCAACCTCTTTACTTTTTATTTGCGAGTGCGGCTCATAAAAACACTAGAGTGCACTAGTTTTGTCAAGAACACAACTAATATGGTTTTTACTCTCATCCTTGTTTACTGCTATTTCAATAACTAATAAGCAGTAAGTCTTCTTTACTTGTTTTATATTGTTAGTTTTAAGTTTGCCGTTCGGTTCAATTTGAATAAAAACCTTAGTAATTAAACTAAATACAATAATTAACGTAAATAATAAAGAATCTTACATGTTTCTTAAACATTATAGCCCGGTACATTGGTGCACCCTGATGCCCTGAGTCCTGTGACACAACTGATAGGAAGTATGGGCTTTTCTCCGCATCCACGCCGACATAATTTTGGTGCACTATAAGCAAGCAAATAGCATTCAATATTATAAAAAGTTAAAATTGCATGTTTAATCATGTAATCTGTTTATGTGTGCTAAATTCCTATTTACGGTATCTTGAACTATTGAAAATAATGAAATGTCTCAAAATCAAATTCCCGACTATTTTCATCGTTGACACAACAAAAAACATCTCAATTACCCTTATTTCTTAGCACTAATGCCCCATCTCTACAGGCAATCACTGCAGTGCTGATGATATGATACGCGACACCAAATAGATTGCTCATGGAAACCGGCAATTTATTTCGGAGCTTTTTTTCTTGGCATGCCAAAGATGGGCAAAAGCAAAGGGAAAATACGATTTATTCTAGAATTTCCCCTCTGAAAATGAGAAAAGCGTTACTAGTCCTCTTACTGTACTACTTGAAGAACAGTTAATTATATCGGTTTCATCGATTTCGTTCCCGTAATTATGATTTAAGAGGTGTTCCACTTTGTGGAGGGCTGGCTGGTGAAACTATCGATAAAATAATGGAAATCGTCGAGTCTGACCATCATGAGCACTGCTTCGATTGAATAGTAGCTAAACACGGCACAAAAAAATGTTTAACCTTTGGATTAAAATAAAATTTCGATGCATGGTTGCCTTATAAGTCATCGTGAAAAGAGCTCATGGGCCGAATTCCCATTCGCCCATCGCTGCTGATTCGTAACAAAATTGACCCATTTCTGAAGCGTCCCAACTCTTAATTCGGGCTTGTATACTGTCAGAAATTGCACCGTCTAAGGAAGCAATCGTCCAGAAGCATATCACACACATTATAGTTCAGGCTTTGCACTATGTCATTACCACCTGTTTCTGTCAATGGTAAAGGCTGTGAAAACTGATAGTCCCAATTTTTCGCCAATAGAGACAAGGGTTTCTCTGAAAGAGATATAAGGAATTTACCATCCAAATGGCATAGTTCTAACTACGGTAAATGAAGTACTCAACATAATGCATAAGTAATGGATTACAATTACCAGACTTGAAACATTGATTCAGGTTTCAGACCATATTTCGAAAAGACGAATTCAATAACTAATTGGAGCCTCGGAGGAAAATGTTCTAACTGGGACAATATTGGAGATCCTGCAAAATGTTAACGATTTTAAGAGGCAAAATAATTAGAAGAAACCAAAAAGAGTCCAACAAAAATGTATGAATTTGCCACGACAAGTGACCCGCCGTCTGCGCAAACTAAAAACAGCAGCACGAAGCTTGATTTCACCAAAATAGATGTTCAGATGGTAATCGGGAAGGTGAAAATCTGCGAATTCATTGGCTTTCCGGTATAAACTTGCTCTCCTCTGCGGGTTAGGGGCTCAAGAATTTATCGCGGTAACGTATGCCTGTCGTAAGAGGCGACTAAAATCCAGTAGTTCCCGCGACAGTCGTGTCTTTATACTGTAACGACCCGGATTTTTATCCGACCAAGGACTGTCACTCCCGCAACATTCCCCAAAAAGTAATTTGGGGAATAATTTTGCGGTTACAACAACAACAACAACATAAACTTGCTAATGCTAAAACATTTGGACCCAGTGGGATCTTTGTCTTTGACAATTTTAATAACATCCGGTATGTACAAAATGGGTATAATGGTCTCACACACCATCTTCGCCCATCAGCTTATCAGCATGTCTACCGAAGAGTGCTATGGAACATTGATCAAGTGGTCGACAGTCATCGGTGGAGTTTCGAGGTCAATCTTCTTAGCTCTTTATGAATAATTTAAGGTGACCTGTTCCCACTTCTGTTTAATTTTTACACCTAGAAGCTTCCATCTCGTTTTTTTGATCTCATATTCTGATGGCTGGTAGATATTCGTATTTGACCAGAATTTTTACTCAGTAAACCGCTATCTCGCCAAATCCCTCTCACTTTTTCCTTGCACTACATCCACAACTACAATCTTCGTAATCCTCAACCATTCTTTTCATCAGCTAAATGAAAGAGTACCTGCTCGAACTCCATGAGAAAGTCGATGGCACAACAATAGCCAAGAACCAAAAACTACTGGGAGCCACATTTGATGATCCAAACTCCTTGCTTTAGCATACAACTACAATTACCTCTAAAGTTCAAGCCGCAAGAAAATCCTCAAAGCGTTAGGCGGAGGATAAGACAAGGAAGCGTTGAGTGTCAAAACACCGTCCAATCGCTATCAACAGGACCATCCCAACAATCAATTATTTGAGGCTGAACCTCTCTCGGTCAGTTTAGAAGGGAGTAAAACTGTGTAAAAGGACGAGTAAATGGCGTTTTAAGAATCCAAGCTCCAACTATTACAGATGCAGAGCTCTGACTCCCTACTGACCCGAGTAATACTGGCACAATTAAGATCTACTTAACTTCCGCACAGCTCGATACCAGCCAACTCTTTGTATACCCCCTATAATCTACTTATCTATAACACTGTTTCCATATGTACCGAGCTCATCGAAATAGCTATTCTCTTCCCATGTGGATTCGTGAACTCCTACAAGAACAAACACAACAGTGAGGTAATGATAGTGCTTATAAAAATGTTTTTTTCTCATGTCTCATGTTTCGAGCCATTTATACATTCAAAGGTAAATCTAAAATATATGAAAATATTTTACGTATATAATTTAATATATAATATAAAATTATACTCTTTGCTCGGATACTCACATTTACCCAAAAAGTATTTGAAATACCATCGTGTTTGATGTTCAGGATTCTCCAATATAGGAGTACTAGGAGAGCCAAAGACCTGAAAAATTCGAATATTGAACTTAATATTGCTTAAGCTCACTGGCGAGATAGATAACAGTTTATAACCGGAAGATATTAACACATTTTCGATAAAAGTTCTTCATGGCCACATATTTAATTTTAGTAATGCAGCTCTAGATCTTGTAAACTTACCAATGAACAGATAAGCATCTTAAGGTGCTGTCAGGCGTAGAAATTTTCGGCAAATTTATATTTTTTTTACGCGTTTTCCTGTAAAAAAAATTCAATTTCGACATTTGACCACGCTGAATCTAGTATCTGCATTTGAGTTCCATATAATTGCAGGAATAGAAATTGTTGTTTTATACATTTTCTGCTTTTGCATTGTAGCATTATATCAATAATATTATAAAAATAATATTTTTTCAGCAACAATCTTCCCATATTTATTTTCACACCACTACCACCACCCCTCTACTAGCAGAAATAAAGTGGAAATAAAAATTGTGCAGTGTGACCAATTAGAAATTTAATTTCAGAAAACACTACTAATTTACAGATGAAATTTTTTGTTCTACGTGTGACTGCTCTTGAAATTAAATTTAAATTTGTCATTATGACACGCTATTTGAAATCAATAATTGCTGACGGCCCCATTACGTAAGATCTGAGCTGCGTAGCTGATGCTTATCAATAGGAGAAACTCTTTTTAAAACCGCCGCCTGTAGTTCTGCATTCTTAAGATCTTCTGCCAACAATTGGTTTTAAATTTGTTTTGGCGGTTTTTCCCTTAATCAGTATTCGGTCAACATTTCTACTCACCTCTTCCTTTTCTGCTAAAGAATCTCCATTTTCAATACGAAACCGTTTAAAATTCGGATCTAAGCCATCTAAATCAGATTGTTGTAACTGAAAAGAGAAAAGTAAATTTAATTTTAGATCCATCCAAGTAATACTCGTATATTGCGGTCCACACTTAGAGGGCCCAGATAAAGAAACATATGATTTTATCGAGCAGAATGCAGGTAAAAACGAAAATACGACCAGGTGCAACATTTATATCTGGAACACTTTTCTGTTGAAAATTCAATTGATACGGGATATACTCTTATGTCCTAGTAACCTGACTACCGCTAAGTTAGAACATCAAGCGAGCCTTCCTAAGTCTCGCTCCGCCAAGAGTAGCGAGAGAGAAAATTTGGCAACTTTTAAAACGGAATTATAAATATTTGTTAAAAATAATACTGAAATCCCAGTAAATTAGATTTGTTTAAAGTGATATGCATTTATAAACAATTATATAATTTCTAGACCTCTACGGTCTGCGGCATAGTATTTGCCTCCTCAATATCGCATTCAAGATCTTATCCAGCGTAATGTGAAAGATTGTGTGAATTCACAACTGGAAAATCCACCTCGGCCAGATGTACTGCATGCAGGTGAACTTGCTAAGGTTGTCCAAGCTTGGACAATGACAAAATTAGAAGTTGTGATCCCTTTCAACTAAAAATAAGCAGCGATGCTGTTTTGATAATATCGCATTGTGGCATGAGCGTTGTAAATTTCGTTCAAATACTTTTCAATCATAATGTAGCTTTAGTGGCTCTTCAATTAGTGTCACAAACAGTTTCCCATGGGTCAACATATAAACCTCCCTCCTCCAATTTTCTAATAATATACATAATTTCTGACAAGGAGGTATGCAAGTTCCACCCTAATATATATTCCTTTTTTCCTTACCTATTCCTCAAAATCAAAGACTTATCAAGAAATATAGAATGCAGTAGTATGTTGAAGTATCTGTGATTTTAACCCTAGAATGGTAAAGTTGCTTTTTAGCTCCTCAAATTTCGGTTGTGAGGCGGCTTTAATGAAAAATTCCATATATGATTTTAGAAAAAACTTAAATTTAATAAAACAAAAATAAAATAAAATACATATAACATATTTATTCAATGTTCAGTAGCAAAATTAAACATATACCAAAAATTTTTTCGATCTCATATGTTTTAATCACTGGTACTAAGAGATCGGCTACTAATCCTTCGCCTTCGTTTAACCTTCAAGCAGTCGCGCGGCGGCGAAAAGACCGCGTTAAATATGTTTTCGTTCATAATTAATAATTATTGAGTTATGTTATTAGATTCTATAGTTGCCTTTTTTCTGAATTTAAGTCCCCTGAATTCGACTTTTTTGATCCTAAAGTCAATGATAGTATATCTATATACGAAAAATAAATTATTAATGAATTAGTGTTTTGTTTCTCTAATATATTCCATAGGTCTTTTCGATTAGGCCCGACCGCTGCCGTTACAAATAACCGCTCGACCGCCTGAGGGTTAAATTACTTTGCCTCACAGGCGACATACATAAATATGTATTAATCGGTAACGTAGCTTAGCAAGGGAGAGCAACTGTGTACGCAACCTCGTACAACACTCTACTGAGTTGGCACGAGCGCATGCTTAGGTCAGAAAATATCGTTGAGAAAAAGTATTGCTTCCCCTCACAGGCGATGTTTAGCATTCTCGGGTTAATAGGTCCTTAAAAGTATAATAAATGCTCAAGAAATGAAACCACCTCAAAATTGAAAAACCAAAATTTATTAATTTTTTATTAAGTCTTAATAACTATATTCTTAACTAATGTAAGTAATTTTAATTCGGCGCCTCAGTAAACAATTCATTAGTTAATTAAAAACAAATAAATGAATGACATGTAGCATTATGCTCAGTGTGGACTCTGAAAATGTCAAGCCTCAAGTTAGACGACCACCTGAAAGAGCAGGTGTGAGGTAGAGGCGGATCTAGTTAAGAAATATTTTGGATATTCCTCCGAGAGCCTGTCAAAACGTGATTTAATTGTGCTTGAAAGTATGAAAAGAGACCAAATTTAGCTTTGCTTTAAGCACTTGAAGTACTACAAAATTTTTAACAGTTCTATATTCTATTTGTTCGGCTTCTGACAGTAGATATTGTAACAACGGTTACCTCTTTTGGGTATGATTTTGGCAGCTTTCATTTAGTTATATACGAAAAGTAAAGTCAAGTAAAAGTTAAAAAAATCAACCAGGGCCTATGTTCCACATATTAAACAAATCCGGACAATCGAATCGATTTCAGGACAATTTTGCAGAAGAAGAAATCATCAAACTAGGCATAACGCTATAGCTGTTCTAAATTTTATGTAAATCGAGCCATAAATAGGACTTTTTGGATACATCGACCCCTATACCTCCCTCTGTACGAAATTTTATGTAAACTGAACGATAAACAAAATGGTTTCTAATTTATAAATAAGCAAAGACGTAAGTTCCCAAACAGTTTTCTACGCAACTTAAATATTTATTTGATAATTAAAAATCGGTGTATTGGCTGCAGTGTTGCTTTTCGGACACTTACCTGATCCGCTGAACCGTAATGCTGCTGTGAGAAAACGCCCCGCCTTGATATTAACTCGGTAGCTGAAGAACTAAAATAAGACCAAACGGGAAAAGTAAATAAATATATTTTAATTTACTAACAAAGAAAATAATAAACAATTAAATATTTTGTAGCACTTCCAACGAAGCTGAAATTACAAGAACACAAAGAGAGAAATAATATATAATAGATGACTTGAAATCTGTTTAAAAAAAGAAGCAATTCCTATTAATTTGCTCCATCTTTACAAAAGTCGATTAAGGCTTAATATTCGCCTACACTATATAATCGTTGATAGATGCTTGGAGTTTTATCATTGCGATACCGCTGAGGTATTACTGTAGATGATCGAACCATTTCGTGTGCCTTATAAAGGCAACGAGATTCCCAAAATTCGCTGAGGTTATCTCATGTTTCCTAAGAAATTTGTATCGCGCTGATGTCAAGGCTGGACAGTGGCAGAGGTAGTGCTTGATTGTCTCCTCCTCTTCTTCATCCCTGCAGCTGCGGCAGAAATCATTAGAATGATATCCCAGTATTTTCCCGTGAAGCCCCATTAAACAGAGTCCAGTTATTATGCCCGTCGTTATGGTAATGTAGAACTGGTCTAGAAAGATAAAATGTTTGAATTTTTTCGCGTCCAGCTTCGGCCACAGCTGTTGGTCACTTTACACGCCATCTTGAATCAGCTTCTCTGGTAAAAGCTAATTTAAGCATGTGCTTTGCCATAGACAGAGGTAACCCCGCATCGTATGCTTTATCGGGGTTGCTGGTTCGTACGCCATGCAGTTGCCTGGGTTGACCATCTGTCCTGGTACCCATACAACGGCAGTGCTATATTTAGTAGAGAGTTTTGATTGCAGCTTGACTGTCGGAGTATATTATAACCGATTGTTCTGATGCCACAGATTTATGCAACCAATCAGCAGCCTCCTTAATTGCAAAGATTTCCGCCTGGAAAACGCTAAAGTAGTCTGGTAGTCTCATGCTCATATTCAATGAAAGCGTGGGAGAATAAATTCCGCATCCCACTTTTCCACCTAGCTTCGAGCCGTTTGTGAAGGTGGCGTTGGTAGTTTTCCACTTGCACCTGTTTGGCACTTCTGCTAGAGTTAATATTTTGGTGTGTCCTATATCGTTTGTTGTTTCTGTAAGCTAGGTTTTAAAAATAAGAAAGATCCAAAAAAAAAGAAACAAGTCTGGACTAAATTTGAAAGCCACATTGGAAATGCCCAAGTTTGGGCAGATAAAGTATAATGTGTATGAAAACTCGGGCCAAATCAAGTGTGATTTTTTCCATGGTGATGGAATATATGTAACAAAGGAAGCTATTAGGAAGAAATTGCGGAAAAACGGATTGCGTGGACGTGGCAAAGTAAAAAAAACTACTCTTCATAAAATTTCACTGTAAGCTGAAGTTCCAATGTGCAAAAAATTATAAAACCCACACCACTGGATCCGAGTCATATGTTCAGACGAAATAGAAATATACCGCCTGGGCTGCAGAGAGAAGAAAGCAGAGCCTTACAACAAGAAAAATAAAGCCAGAGAAGCTGTTTAGAAGCCTGCATTGCCTTCTCATTAGTGCCACAATAAAAGCAACAAAATTTTACATTTCAAGGGAGTTTCGCACTGTAGCAGAATTGTTGAACATTTAAAAAATACAACACAAGATTTGGCTAAATTGTCTTTGAGGGTATTCCGAAATATTTTTTAAAACGACTTTCCCATCAGTTTTCATTTTCCTAAAAAAGATAAATGTTTGACTTGCGAACGTTATAAAAACTTGGATAGTGCAGGAGGAAGTGATTTTGGCAAACCTGAAGAATACCGAAGGAAAAATGCTAAGAAGTATTTCTCGAGGAAAAACAATACAATCTAAGGCCAATTCGTTTTTCTTATGTGTTAGTTTTTATTTACAAAAAATGTTAATGACACTCCTCGATGCCCGTTGACTCAATTCATAGCACCTTTGAGTAATTTATTCGCGAAACGACTGCTTGGGCTCCAGCAGAATGGTATATTATGATTAGTAATACCAAGACTAATCCAATTTCAAACTTTACGCTCTGTCGAATTTAAGAAAAAAAAAATCCATTATTAAACTCAAATATGGATGTTTTGCACACCCTGAAACCAAAGAATATGACATGGGACTGACTGACTGACGCGTTCGAGACATTTATTTCTTATAGTAAATAATGTACCTCTCTCTTTTTCTTTCATTTTTTTCTTGGAAAATTCATTGCAAAAATAATAAAAAAAATAAAATATTTATATGAACATTAAAAATGGGTGATTAGTGGAAAGTAGCTTAATATGGTGACTGCTTACATGGTGATGTAAGCAGCACAAAATCGTGCTATAAAGTAATTAAACTCATTGCAATAATCATCTAACATAATTTAAAAGTTGCTTACCGAAATTCAGAATAAAATCTAAATACTTTGCATCTTTAATTAACTAAAAATAATATTATCCTTTATCTTTTTGTCGCTTACATCTTTTTCGTTGTGAAGGCTCGATGTATTGACTTCGTCTCGTTTAAAGTTATGCGTCATGCTGTCGAAAGAGAAGTCTTAGCTTAAGCAGAAAGCCATGGGGACACATTTTATGGAACGCCTGAAGTACTTCTGGGAGAACAGCTGTGCAAATATATGTACTTTAGCCGAGTGGTTAGCATTGCTTACTGCCATTCGGACGGCTCGGGTTCAAAACGGCGTGTGACCAACAACCAAATGTTACAGAAAATTAATTTAAATAAAAAATTAAGCTAAATTTTCTAATTGCGGTCACCCCTCAGAAGAGAATGTCAACCCCTCCGAGTGTATGTCTGACATAAAAAAAAAGCTCCGCATAAAAAAACAATCAGCTGTTCGAAGGTACCCCTATTTGTTAGAAAAAAATTAAGACGCAAAACCTCAAGGTTGTTATGCGATGTTCTTGATCGATTGTAGAATGTTGAGATCAAAACACTCGCTTCAACTATGTCTTTTGGTAAAAACAGCTTTTAATAGTCAAACCATTTACCCAAAGTTATCTCGAATTCTAAAAAGCTAACCTGCTCGGCGTCACGGAATTCACCAAGAACGCATTCCGCGGTTTTAACAACAGGTGCTATGCTGATCCCTGAGATCAGCTTCTCAAGACCCTCAATCAATCAGTCAGCAATAGTGAGCTTTGTTTTGCTGGTTTTTTACACTGTGCAACTCTTGATTTGTCGAGAGAACAGTTTGAAGGGTTATTGGGAAGGCGAAAACCTCCAAATCCATCGGTCCGGACGGAATCACCATACTGGTGCTAAAACATTAAGTTCCAGCGAAAGCAGATTATTACACCGAGGTTTTGAACTAATAATACCCGGTATGTGGAAGCTGAGTCCCTGATCCTTTTCCTACCGTACCGAATTTCAAACAATTCGAACCATAAATATGTACGAAATGTGATCAGAAAATAGCCGTTATTTTCAATTTTTTCAAAAATATTTATTATTGATGAATAAAATAGCAATCTTGTCCCCTTCAATGTTATCTTGCTCAGATATAATACCTTTATGCAAGCGTGTTTTCCAATCCTCGAAATACTTCTGAATTGCGTTTTTTGGTATCGCTAATAACCGCTGTTTCGATTTTTCTTTTATCTCCTCAATCATAGCAAAACGTTTTGCTTCCATCGGTGTCTTCAATTTAGGGAAGAGGAAAAAGTCAGCGGGGGCCAAGTCTTGTGAATACTCTGGTTGAGGTTTTGTTTTTGGCCAAAAACTCACGCACAAGCATCGATGTGAGAGCTGGTGCGTTATCATGGTGCAAAATCCGTAACGTTTTTTTCTACAATTCTGTGCGTTTCTGACGAATTGCTTCGCGCAAGCTGCGCCTCACTTCAAAATTGACCGTACGACCTTGTGGCGAAATTTCAAGATGCACCCCGCCATTCCAGTCGAAGAAAACAGTGAGCAAAACGGGCGACCAGGACGAGCATCGTCATTGACATCTTCTCGGCCTTTCTTAAACCGGTTATACTACAATTGAGCTTGTGTTCTACTCATAGTATACGCGCCAAACGCCACTTCAAATGTCCTTGCGAATTTAAATTCATTTTTTTCACAAAACTTAATGCAATTTCTTTGATAAATTTTTTCGAAAAGGAGAAAATCGCAGAACATACCAAAACACGACTAACCCTTTAATCGGTCAAAAACAAACTGACAATCCAAAACGGCTGATACTGCCAACATGTGTGCCAACATAACAGAAAAAAAGCTAAAATCGAAAATACGAAACGAAATTTGAAAATAACGAACGTTTTCTGAGCACACCTCGTACTTAACTATATACAATAGTATAGGGCGTTGGCAGCAGCTCAGGGAAATTGGGCAAAAATTAGGTTTTTTTGGGCAAAATTTAACAATTTTTGTAAAAATTTTAGCCAAATATTGCATTTGTGAGCTAATATTCCGACTAAAATGGCATTAGATTATTGAAGAACTATGTTGTAGCCCCTGATACTCATCCAATTGCAATGATTTTATGGAAACATCGCTCATCACACCTTTTGATTTCTTAGATGGTGCCAATACCCATTAAAGCCGTCCGGACCATTTAAATTAAATCTTTGTTTATCTTAAAAGGTAAACTGGTTCTGATCAACAATTTTTATTTCAAAAAGTTATGCAGACTAAACAGCAAACATAGAGATTTCTTTATAAATCCTTAGTGCTTTTCCTGATCTTTTTTAAATTCGAAGGGATCCGGTAGCTATTTTTATTTTTACGAATTGTACCCACTGGGTTTCGTTTGCTTTTTTGCCATCACTTATAGTCCAACCTACATAAAATTCTGGATTCAAAGCAAATAAAATTTGGTATCGGCCAAACTATACATTTTTATAAAATATTACTATGGTTTGGAGGGCATATGAATTGCATATTGACAAAATCTGAAACGGCCTCTGAATGGTTCCAGCTCTTGTCAATTGTTATATATGACACATATCTTCACACAGTTCTCTGATTGGAGCCAACCTGCCGACTAATCTTCCTTCCATTCCAAC